TAATAATTATTTGAAATATATTTACTAATACAATAAGAGGATAATAATACAATATAATAATATTATAGTATAATTTTGATATAATAGTAAGAAGAATAATAACATTTATAATATAATAATAATTTTAAAGGATATTTTAATGTAATAAAATAATAATAATGAGAGGAATTATCATAAATAATAATAAATAAAATATTGTGAATATAATAATAATTATAAATATACTTTTTCATAATAAATTTTAAAAATATTTTTAAATAAAAAAAAATAAAATTAGTCCTCAAAATTTTTTTTCAACAAATTAAAAGTAATGAAGAAATATTTTAAAATTATAATAGATAATTTATTAAATATTATAATTAATAGTTATAGTATATAGAAAAAAATAACAAACCAACTTTTATTATTATAACATATTAAAAAAATATATCTAATATATATTTTATATTATAAAAATAAAAATAATAGAATAAATAATAAACTAATAAAATTTATTTATAATAAAAAATTAAATTTATTATAATATTAATGATAATAATAAACAGTATTAAGTATACTTTAAATATATTTTTATTTTAAAAAAATAGTAATATTACAAAATATTTAATAATCCTTAAATAAATTTTTATACTACAAATAAAAGTAAGAATCAAAATTTTTCGTTTTAAAAATATATAAAACAATTAATATAAGATTTTTAATATAATAATTATAGCAAGTAATTATGAAGAATTATTTAAAATAAAATATTAATAAACAATATAATAAATAATTTTTTTATCATAATAATAATAAATTAGAAAAAATAATTCCTTTATCAAAAATAATGAATACTTCTAATTAAAATGTATTAGTAAGGCTATTAATAAAGTATTATATACATACTTTTAAAATATATTTCTTATAATAAAAACACTAGTATATAATAAAATAATGCTAAGAAATATTTTACTTATAATAATAGTAATCATTAATAAAAGAAACAAACATTTATTTAATATTATGAATAATTGTATTATACAATAAAAAATAAATATATAGTAATATAAAAAAGAAAAATATATTAAATATATACTTAAAAAATATATTTTTTTAGTAATGATAATAATAATATAATAATAATCAACATAATACTTATAATAAAAAAGGAACTAAACATACTTTTTCTATTTTTCATATGTACTTTTTATAGGGTAATAAAAAATAAATAATTAAACTTTTTACTAATAGAAAATGCTAATGAACTTATCACATCCGAATATTGTAAAGTGTTTTGGTTTATCGGAAACTTTTAGTAAGTCGATCTGCTTAATAATGGAATACATGATAGAAAACGACCTTCTGAGACGCCTTCGTCGCACGTATATCATATTTTATTATGGAAATATATATATATAAAAGTTTTTTAAATTTATACCATTGTAATATATTTTATATATAATAAAATTAATAGAAATGTAACGAAAAAATTTAAAACTTGCATATTATTTAATTTAACAGTAACAAAAATATTGATTATATAAGTATAAATATTATTTTATTTCATTTTTATTAATAATTATTACTTTTATGATATATCCGATTAATATATAAACTATTATCAATTTTTTTATAAAATATATTATATAGTAAGATGCCAATACTTGTGGTTATAGTCAGAATCATGTAGTATTATATAAAATCATTTTGATAATTTATAGATTTTATTATTTCAATATTATTATAATTTAATACCATTTATTATTTGTTATATATTTTATTTATATTATAATTACTATTAAATTATATATATACTTTATTTATTACTATTTGATTTATACATATTTATAATAATATTATTATTATATAAATTACTTATTATTTTATAATCTATTAATTAGTAATTATTATAAATATTTATTATTATTATTTAAAATTATTTTTCGATTTTCATTTATAATATTAGTAATTATTGTGGTTATATATAATTTATTTATTCTTATTTCATATCATTTATATATTTATTAGTTATTTATAAGAAATTTAAAAACAATTTCAATTTTATTTATTATTAGTTTTATTATTACTAATTTTAATATTAATTAAATTTATTTTTATTTTATTATTGTTATATAAAATCGTTTTTTATTATTATTACAATTATATGAATGTTTATAACTTTATTATTATTATTCATTTATAATTTATTTATTATTATTATTAAATAGCAATTCTTTTTTCTTATTTACTTATAATTATTATAATTACTTTTACCTTTATAATTATACTTATAATTATTATGAAAAAAAAACTTAAAAATATTTAAACGTAATATTTAAACGTATTTTTTACTTTATAATACCGTAACGTAATTTTTTTATAATCAATTAATAGAAAATTATTATATTTTTTATTTTTTGATTATTACATAATAATTATTTATTTATTTGTTATATATTTATCACATTCTTCAGAAAAGAAGGAAGAAAGTATACTATGGAGTTGGTAGAAAGATTGTGGTATTGCTATCAAGCGGCTTGTGGTAAAAAAAATTTTTTTAACGCGTTTCTAAAGATAATGAATAGCTTAATAAGCTTCATAATATTTTTATATTATAAAAAATTTAATTTAATTTTTATAAAAAAATTTCTATTAAGAAAAAGTGAAAAACTTTATCGTAATATTTGTATTAAGTAAAAGTTTTTATAAGAATAATAAAAAGATCGATTATCAAAATATTTAAAAATTATCAAAAAAATATATACTTCAAAAAATTTGAATACAAATAAAATAATTTAATGTTTTTTATAAAATATATAAAATATTAAATAATAATAAGTAGTGAAGCTTTTTTTATAATATTTATAATCTTTTATATTTAAGAAATTATAAAAAGAAAAAACTTCTAATGATTTTTTTTGCAGTATTAATAAAAATTTTATAAACAATATTAAATAAAAACTTGAAAAACCTTTATATTAATAATTTGTAAGTTTATATATGAATATTATAAAGATCGATTACTAAACATAAATAATATAATAACAATACTTCATAAAATAAAAATGTTTTCATAATAATTATTATAAATTTAATAATTAAAAAAAAAAAATCAATTAAAAAATTTATATATAAATATTTGTATATCGATAACAAAAAACTTAAAAAAAAAAAACTGTAAAATCTATTTTTATAAAAACTTCTATACAAAAAATCTAATAATAAATAAAAAATAAAAAAATTCGGAAAACTATTTATTAAAACTATTATATAATTATATAAATATTAACTAAAAAATAATTATATGGATGTTTTTATAGAAACTATTATGTCCAATTAATTATTATCTTAATGATTATTATTATTATTAAAAACTTGAAATACTAAATTAAAAAAATATAAAATTAAATAAAACTTTAAGCAAATTTTATGAAAGAATTTTAAAAAAAAATTATTAAAAAATAGTCACGTGCTCTTACCACGTGTTCGTCTGCTTATTGTACCACGTAACTCTACACTACATCTCACCATATACTTGAACCATGTGATTAGTCGACATAGTTTTTATTTAAAATATTTTTATACAATTAATGTTTTAATATAATTTTTAAACAATCTTTTATTTATTTACTTTTTTTTACAAAAACTTTTTTATAACTTTTTTTTTTATATTTAAAGAAAAATTTTTTCTAATTCGTATTATTTTAAATATTACCTTTGTGTAGGGATGCACTACTTGGCAACAAACAGAATCGTCCATTGTGATTTGGCGGCTAGAAATTGTTTGTTGGGGTCATCACATGACAGTTTTAGCGGTATTTTTTTATTATACTTTAATTGGTGGAAGCAGCTCTAAGCACAAAATTAGTAAAAAAAAAAAATAAAAAATTTATTTTTCAGCCTCTTTGAAAATTTAATATTTACTATGAATTTTATTATTTTTACGAAAACTTTATTATAGGTATTATGTATAAGTTTTACAATAATGCAGCTACTAGAATAACTTTTTTGTATTTCAAAGAAATTACTCAGAAATTTTACTCGACTGCTCTCATATTTTATATAAAACTATACTGATAATAGTAATTAATAATAATAATGATAACAAATTTAGATTGAAAATTTATTAAAAATTTAAAAAGAAATTTGACTATTCATTGAAGTCATAATGAAGCTCTTTATATTCATTGAAGGATTTCCATGCTTGAAAATTTCAGATTTTGGTTTAGCTCGAGTGTTGAAGGAAAAAAATGAGTCTCACGTAGAACCTTCAGGAACTAACCTGGAAAAGCTTCCTTTTCAGTGGATGGTAATGATCTTATATTATTCGAGATTGGTTATTTCTTTATAATTATGATTTAGTTCCGTCGTTTTCATAATTTATTTATCTATTTGTTATAATTATTGCATTATTGTTAATATTAATTATATAAAATCCGTTATTTTTATAAAATATCTATTCATTTGTTTATTATTATTGTTTGTTTACTTATTATTATCTTTGTCACATATTATTATTCATTATTATAAGAAAGAAATTCTATCAATTCTAAGAAATTTATTAATTTACTTATCATTTTATTTGTAATTCACAAATCATTATCATTCCTTATTATTATATAAAAAGTTCTAATATTTTTATAGAAATTTATTTATTTACTTTTCATTATTGTTCATTTATTATTATTTCATAATATATTTATTTGTATATTATTATAGTCGTTTGTATTTCATTATTACTATTGTTTTATATATTATTATACGTTATTATTATATGAAAAAAATAAAATCAATCATTGTTATAATATCTGTATATTAATTTATTTTGTTATTTTCATTAATAAATAAATAATCATATTTATATGATTATTTATTCATGGTATTATTAATATTATCATTATTGTTTTTATTTTAAATATTATTATATTTCTTATTTTTATCATCATTATTATTATTACTATTATTACAGGCTCCAGAATCTATTATGTACAGAAAATATTCGGAAAAGTCAGACGTTTGGAGTTTCGGTATCACAATGTGGGAAATCTTTAGTGAAGGCGATATCCCATTCGCTGCTTACCAGTTAAATGAAATGTTACGACTCATCAATTTGGGCACGAGACTAGCTAAACCAGTCAATTGCACGGATGTAACTTTTTTTTTTATTGAGTTTTTATAAATGTTTAATGATTTATAATAAATTTATTCATAATTTTTCTTAAAAAAATAGTTTATAGTAAACCGCTTGCGAATTTTCTTTAATGTTAATATAATAAATAGTATTTTTTGTAATAATAAATTTTCACATTTTTATTTTAAATAAAATTGAATTCTTTTTTAAATTTAAACTACTTTAATCTTTGAAACTAAAATTGTTACGTTTGATAATAAACGGCTTTAATTAATGAAAATTTCCACAAGATTTTTATATTATTGAGTTTTCTATTGAAATTTGTTACCTTATTTTAATTGAAAATTTTATAAAAGTTTTTGATCTTATTTGTTACAATTATTAAAAAAAATCACTTTTAATTATGAATTTCTCTACATGTTTTATAATTTTAAGTTTTTTCACTAAATTTAATGTATAACAAAGTCACTTTTTATAAAAAATATTTTATATTTTAAATTCATAAAAATAAAAACTTGATTTATACTATATTTATGAAAAAAGTCATTTTTTATACTGAATTTGTAAAAATTTGTCACAAATTATATGGAAAAATTTACTTTTATGAATGTATTTATTTACAAATTTCTATTTTAGAGTTTTTTAACAACATTGGAATATTTTTTATTTCATATTTTTTTTATGAAATATATGAAGGGTTATGTTATTTTTTTAAGTATTACAACTTTTATATACAAATTTATTAACTTTAAAATATTTATATTTACTTTTTATTTTCATAATATTAAACTAAAAAAAAAAAAAATTAAAATTTATATTTTTATAAAAAAAACTTTTAAAAACTATTTACAATACTCAGACGTAGTAAAAAAATATAAAACTTTTTGTTTTCTTTCATTTATTTTCTTAATAATATTTTTTTTAACTTTTTTTTTTAATTTCTTTATTATTATAAAACTCTGGCAATATTATAACTTTCATTTAAACTTTTTGATTACTTTTTATATTTTTTATTACCAGCAATTATTGTTTGTTATAATTTTTTTATATACTTTTTTTTTTCCTAGTAAATAAAATAAAATATTATTATAAAAAGTTTGTAAATTTTTTTAACTTTTTTAAATTTCATAAGTAATAATTATTTTATATATATTAATTTTTTTTTATTATAACCTTTCTATAAAATATTTTTTTGAGTAAATATTATTAATATTTATATATATATTTTTTTACTTCATAATTAAAAAGGTTTATATATATTTTACAGTTGTATAAAAATATATATTGAATGTTATATTTTTTATAATAATACTTATTATTACTTATTAATAATATCTAAATTTAAATAATTTTTTTAATTTATTTATAAAAAATTAACGATGTTATAATTCAATGTATATATTGCTTATTATTATTTTCTGCGTTTTTACGAATTATAAATAAAACTTTTTATATGCCTATAAATAATAATATTATTCAGTATTTTTTTTTCCTAACTTATTATTTTTCCATTTTTACTAATAACAAAAGAAACTTTTTATATATTATTATTAAAAGTTAAACTGTTTATATTTCCGGTAATATAGAGAAACATAAAAGTTTATAAAAAGGTAAAATTATATTTAAGTATTATAAAAAGTAAAAATATTTATAATATAATAAAAAAGAAGATAATTTTACATAAAAGTTACACTAAACGGTTAAACTATTATTTATATGTAATTTAATATTAATAAAAATAAATATTTTATATAATTTTATATTAAAAAACTCAAAAAGTTAAAGTTAATAAAAATAAATTAAAGTTTTTAAGAAAAGTTAAATTAAATATAAATATTTTTTACATAAAGTTTATTACTTTTTATTATTAATATAAATATTATATAAAACATTATAGGGAATATAAAGATATTATTTATATTATATTTGGAGATTACATATTTTATTTTTTTTATTCTATTTTATAAAAAAGAAAAATCATTAAAAAAAATAATTATTAAAGCTAATTACTAATTTTTTCTTATTACTCTTTATTTTTGTAAAAAACAATTCCTATTATATTTTTTATTATAGCCTTTTACTACTTAATTTTATATATTTATATATATAAAAAGGCCATTTACGCAATTATGCTTCAGTGTTGGCCTTTTGATGAAGGCAAGCGCTACAGTTTTCTAAACTTGGAGAATGCCTTGAGAAATATTCTTATTATTATCAAGCCGTCCTTCAGAAATTTTCTTCTAAGAACCTACGACGGTTACGTGGATGTCGCTACTGTAGCAAAAGAGCTGGAAAAAACCGTAAAAAATAGTGACAAGCATTGCGATCAATTGGAAGAGTCTACTGATATGAGTAGTCAATACGGGTACGTGAACGATACCAATGCAGAGTCGTTTCTGAAGCAAGCTTTCACTTCCACCGAAACGGGTTCAAAAAGGTAAATAAAATGCTTAAGATAACTAATTTGGTATTTCTGGGTTATTGTATAAAAACGGTATTTGCAGAATTTGCGTAAATTTTTGTTTAGTGCAACGTTTATAGAAATTTTTATTTATTATTACAATTTTAAAAAAGGTAGTTAAATTACGTTCATAATAATATTGTTATTAGTTGAACAACCCTGCGAATAATAATAATAATAATAATAATAATAATAATAATAATAATAATAATAATAATAATAATAATACTTGTATATACTAGTAAATAACACTTAAAAAATAACTTCTACCAGAGAGTAGCTAATTCCCAGTTAAAGGCACCTTTTCATAACCCAAGAATTCGGCACGTTCTTAGCCAAACTGTAGTAATATTTTAAATAAAATTCGAATTTAACAAAGTGAGCTAAGTACTTCGACAGCAACCCAGAAAAGAGCGCTTAGGAAATGAACCTTAAAGTTTCGGCTTACCTACCTGCAATGAAAAAGCCGCCGTAGGCACAGAACTGAACCTTTTCGCGAATGCCATTAGTTTAAGTGGATCTGCATAATTTGTTGTAAAGAGAAGACATTAATTAGTAGGCAACGCTAGTATAGTAAGCGAAAGCATAATCAAAGACTCACTTGAACAGTAATATGGTATACTACAAAGGTCAGTTACAAGAGTGGCATGGATCTCAATCACAGACTCCCTGAAACCTTGTAAAACCGGAGAAACTGCCAGTATGAATTTTAGCCAACTCGGAGTTTTTGTGGGTTTTTATAATATCTCGATTCACGATAAGCGCCTATAACTATTCCGGGTACATGCTAACCCTGAGTCCATAGCTTGACTGAAAGTTCCATAGTCACTAAATATAAGTTTATAGTATCAGAAACTGGTCCAAGTGTTAAAGCGAACACTAGCAAATGAGATAGGTTCAACCTGAAAAAAACTAACCAATCCTTACTTTTCTATAGTGTACATTCATTAGACGGAAGCACCCAACAGTGCCAACATTATCCATCAGGCAGGTCTCTCACTTCAAACCAGCCTACTCATTTGCCTCAAACACCACGGCGGATTTTTTACTGCTTTAAGTGACTACCCGATTAAATTAAGATAGCGTTTTTTTTATCTTTCTTGGTGTTAATAGCTTAACAAGTGAAACATGCTTTCGTGTGAGGCAGATTAAGAATTTGGTGATTTTTACTTTAAACACTTCCTTTTCACTTGCCAAAAGTAAACCACAAGTTGCACGTAATGAAGTTCTGCACCATTCATATTCATATTAGAGGCTTATAAAAAATAAAGGGGACACTCCAAAGTCAACCCTAAATTTGAGGTTCCCAAGTGTTGGTTTCTTCGTTCTATGCAATTTACCAAATGTAACTCTTTCGTTAGGGAAGTAACTACCATGCAGACGGCTTAAAAGAAAAAAAACTATCAACTCTCTTTTATGAGTAGGCCCTAATTAGGTTGAATAGAAGAACGGTTTCACGGCCAAAAGATTGTTTTACTCTCACAGCTGGTTTGTGAGACTTCTTAACTAGAGATGAGTTATGGTTACCTAACCTGTCTCTGCGATAAGTTAAAAGCTGCCTGTGGCTTCTCCGTTTATTAAATTGGATTATAAACTACAAGATATTTTACCGAAATAAGATATTTAATAATTTTGTTCATAAATTATACGTTTCCTATAAAGTAGTGTACTACTACCCGGCTTACTGGTTTTCTCCTAAGTTACCAGTTAAGAATTTAAACAAACCTAAATTGGTGCTCTGAAGAAACGAAAGAGAAGCATTTTTTTTCTTGCAGGAGCCTAAGGAATTGGAAAATTAAACATTTTATAAAGTAGAGAAACCTGAGAACATCTTATTGATAAGTTAACATATTATATTTAGTTTTAGGGTTCTTGCATAAAAAGAAGCTAGCCGTTATTGGTTTGGAAGTGATAGGAGGAATTTCTAAGGGTTGTAAAATTTGGTAATCTTAAGATTGCTCAAAATGAAACATTCTGTAAAATATTAAGGTAAGCTACCAGTAAAGAACTAATCAGGCTATTTCTAACCTAAGCAGCATTGCTAAAGAGATAGAAGGTTAATCCGCAGTTAGGTGACAAACCCTATGGAGCTTCAGCGTAAAAGAGACTCCTTTAGCTTAAAATTTGTAATAATATGAAAGAGGTAAACGGATACTAATAGAGCCTGTGGTAAATATATTACCTTAAACACCTAAATTATTCGGCTAATAAAATTATAAAGGTACGAGTCGAAGCCAACCTGGCTGAAACGGTGTTGCTGTCTTAGCTTGGTTCAAAGGAAATTTGTAGGAAAAATATAGTATAACTTTCATTTCCTTGACAAGAACAAGGCTCCCAAAAGAAATAAATAAACTTCAAAACCAAAATAGCAATAAAGCGAACATCCCCGAGAAGTCATTCTGTTATTTTCGTAAGAAATCTTATAGAAAGTACTTAAACGTTCCCGTAGATACATTAGAATTATAGAGATTGCCGTGAATATTGGATCGTTTATATTAAAAGAATTATTTTTATAAATAAAATGGCTACTTATAAAATTCTCGTTTATTACAATCTTGCAATAGTACTAATATTCCTCTATAGGCACGTTGTACCTACTGTCTCTGTACCTATTGACTCCTTTTAACCACAAGTGCATGTTAGAAATTGAGGGGATAATAAAGAAAGGTTCGTTTATCTAATAGGATTCCCATAATTTTTAGGTCGTAATGCGCTATAAATCAAAATGCAGTCTTTAGTGGATCAGCGAGTTAAAAATAGTTTTAATACCAGTGTTTATCCCTCCAATTAAACTTCAGACTGCCTCGTAAAATTTAATGAGGCCCTTTAACTAGAGTTATAGTTTCCAATATTAACAATTAATTAGCGAACATGTGGCATTGTGTTTTCTAAGTTTTCTATTGGTGTTGAGTATACTTTTTCCTTCAAGTTAAGCTGAACTTAATTTCTCAAAATAATAATAAACAGTTTTACAACACAAATCCACAAATCAAATATTAAAGTTCTAGACTGTTCTTGAATAATCCCGAAAAATACGATACACTCGATAACTTCCAAAAGGAGAAATAGTTTTTAATAAAATTTATTATAGATAATAAGTATACAGAACTAGTTAATATAAACATAAAATAATATAGAATATTTAAAAGGAATAAATAAAAAAATAAATAATTTAATATGTAAAAAAGCTTAAGAAAAATAAAGTATAATAAATTATAAATAAATATACACAATACTATTACTTAAAAATAATAAAAAGCTAAAAAAAACTTTTATATAAATATGAAATCATAATAAATATATAACTACATAAAATATTATAGAATATAAAATAAAAATAATTATATTATAATAAAACTTAAAAAAGTCTACAAAAAATAATAAATATAACTGTTATTTATTTAATAAAGGATTAATAAATAATTTTATATAATAAAGTGATATAATAAGAAATAAAGTTTTATATAAAAAAATAGCGAAAAACAACCTGATTATAAAAAAAATAAAAATAATAAATAAATATATATTGTTATAAAAAATAATGAATAGCTAATATAAAATTTTTTTAAAAATTGGTAAAGTAATATATAGATACATAACTATAATATAAAATCATGTATGGTTTAAAAAAAAATTACAAAAAGTCTGAAAAAAAAATATATAAATAATAAATAACAAAAGTTAATATAATAAAAATATATAATAATGTAAAGTAATGGATAACTAAAAAAATTATAATAATAATATAAATATATATTCTTATGTATAATAATAAATGACTTCAATGAATTTTTTAAAAAGTATCTAAAAATATAATAAATATAAACATTTATATCATAACATCCATAACCCGAAAAAGTTATTATATAATAAAAAGGAATAAATAATAAGTATATAGGTGTACACGTGACTCTTAACATTCTTACAAGTATAGATGTTATGTCAAAAGGTTTAGAAAAAAGAATTCACTGGATGACTAATAATAATAATAAACTTTTATATAAAGAAGTTTATTATTTAAAGTTCCGCTTAAAATATAAATTATTATAAACTATAAAAAATTCTGGAAGATCTAATAAAATATATTCTTTTTTATTATTTAATAATAATAATAATAATAGTAATAATAATATTGATAATAATAAGGGTGCTTACTTTATAGTAAAAATATAGCGCTACAATAATATTAATGAGTAAAAAGATTGTCAGGACTGACAAGTTTCTCTGAAAAAGCTTTCAAATATTGACTTCCTCGCACTTCATGAGTTAGAAGAGGAACTTTAGTTCTATAATGATTATAATTATTATTACCAATTATTATTACTATTTACTACTAAAAAAAAAGGAAAATTAAGAACATTAGAAAAAAGTTTATATTCGTTAAATAAAATTTATATTATTGTTTATATTAAGGTAAAACGAATAAAAAATATATAAATATAAAAAATATAATAAATAATTTTATTTTTTTAAATAAAATATTTTGAGTTGTTCTCAAAAATATTAAAATTATTATTTTCCTAAAATATAATGAAAAACTTTTTTTTTCTAATAATAATATTTCTTAAATACCAATATAAAATGTAATAAAAAAGTTTTTTAAAAATAATATTTTAATTTGCATTCATACTAATGAAAATATGGTTATTCCATAATATAATAAAAAACTTTATTTTCGTGGATTTACTATCCAAAAATAGACATTATTATATAATATATTATAAAAAGCTATATTATTTAATATTTTTCTTTACTTTTATACTTTTAAGTTATGGTTATATTTGAACATTTCAAAAAAAATTAAGTTATAGAAGTTTTCAAACTAAAAAAAGGTTTAAATACTTAAATAGTAAATTTATTTATAACATTAATATTTATTTTTTTTAAAGTTTCTCATTTTTTTATTATTATAACAACTATTATTAATAAAAAAAGAAACTTATTTATAGGAAAATATATAATTATATAAAAGTATAAACGTAATATTTGATTATATATTTATAAAAAAGGAAAATATATAGTTTTTCAACCTTCATATTTGCATATTATTATATAATAATAAGTAAATATATATATATTTAAAAAATTTCTTCATTATTACATATAAAAGTAAAATATCAAAAATATATAATATATAGAACATAATAGAGTTTTATCATAATATTATTATTTAACACTAAAAAAAATAAAAACTTTGCAAAAATGAAAAGTTTTTACATAGAAAAGTAAAATTACCAATATATTTAAATATTTTATATAATAATTTTTTTCCCAACATATTTCATTTACTTTTATTATATTGGAAAATAAAAAAAAGTTTTTTCTTTAAAAAATTATTATATTTGTAATTAATAATTTCATAGTAACAATGGAAATAGTAATATAGAAATAATTATTATTAAAGTAATAACGATGCGAATAATAATATATTAATAAAAGTAATAGTAATAATAAAATAATTATAATAGTAACTAATAGTAACTAATTCTATACAAAAATTATTGATAATAATATTACTTAATAGTAATTGAAAAAAACACTTAAAAAAATGAGTGAAAATTATGTAAGTATTAAATATATATATATATAAAAAATTATTCTTCATTTAACTTTCGTACTGGGAATAATTTTTACTTTTATTAGCAGCAAAAGTAAAAATGAAAATGAAAAGTATTAGAACAAAAAAAGATATAAAACATTAAAAAAGTTCAATTTTATAATAATGTTTATATTATTTCTTTTATTCTTCAAATATTTACTTTAACTTAATAGTTTTAAAATTCTGAATAAAATTGTTAAGTTTTTATTATAAAAGTTGTATTTGTACTTTTTTTGGTCAACTCAAATAATTTTATTGATACGCATAAAAAGAAACAAAAAGTTATTAATAAAAATTATAACAAACAATTTACGTTTTTTTATTTCATGACGCAAAAAAAAATTATTATTTGCAAGTTTATTTATAAAATCTAAAAAACAATTATATTATGCAAATATATTAAAAAATTAAATATATAATTAATAATTTTATATTTTAATAAAAAATTAAAAAAAGTTTATTAATAATTTTTGAATTTAAAAAAAAAAATTGAAAGAGAATAATAATCTTTTAGTTTTTCTTAATTTAACAAAAAAATATTATAAAAGTTTTATAACAAAAAATAAAAAACATATAATTTTTATTTTTTTCCTATATAAAAAAGTTTCCTTTATTCAGTAATTTCTAATAAATTATAAATATTCATAATAAAATGTAAAAAACCAATTTTTTATTAATTCTAATAAAACATGTATTTAAATAGTTTTGCAAAAATTGATTAAAAAATATTCACATTTACTTAGTATTATTTACATGTACTCTTCCATAACTTTAAGAAAATATAATAAATTACAAAATTTTAATAATTTTTAATAAAAATAAAAAATGATAAATACTAAAGAAGTGTACTTTTAAAAAAAATACTATATAAACTTTTACTATCCTATTTTTAGTTTAATAATTTATATAAAATTTAATAATAAATGGTGATAGTAATAAATTGTTAAAGAATAATATATCAATTATAGAAAAAATTATTATTATTTATATTTCTTTAATAAAATAATAATTATGCATTATATGTTTTTACTTTTTTAATAATAAAGTAAATAATATATTATTTTGTCGTAAAAATAAAAAAATGTATTATATTAATATATAAAGTAAACAAAAAATATAATAAAATATATTAATTTATAGTATTGATAACAATTATTATATTTTTTTTATAATAATATTAAAAGTAAATTAAAAGTATAATCTATTACTTTATAAATAAATAATAAATATATTTTTTACACATTAAAAAAATGATTATTATTTATTCTCAATTTATGTGACTTTGTAAAAAGTTATTTAATTATTATACAATAATAATATATTTGTTTATTATTTATTATTTATAAAAGTTTACTTGCATTAATACTATTATATTTTTTAATTAAAAAGAAAAGTATTAAATAATATAAAGTACATAAAAAGGTATTTTCTTTATTAGAATAATCGTAAATATGTATAAGAAAAATTATAATTATTAACTATTAAAAAGTAATATATTTATGATAAGATAATTAAAATTAGATGAAAAGTTGTTTTCTTATTACTTTGTTAAATTAAAAAAATTATAATATATACTTTTATTAAATAATAATATTAAAAAAAATTATAATAATATTTAATAAAAATAATAAAAAGTTTATAAAATATGTTTATTAATAACTATAAAAAATAATTGTATTTTTGATAAATTTATAAAAAAGATATTATACGATATATATATCATATTTATCTTTCCTTTTAATAAACTTAAAAATAATAATTAAATAATATTCTAATATAGAAATATAAGAAGAGTGAAAAGTGACATTTATCTATTAATAACTGAAGAAAAATAAAAAAAAGTTTTATAATATTTATAAATTTATAAAAAAGTTGTAAGGTGTTATATTTTTTAATAATATTTTAAAAAAAAGACTATAAAAATTTATTATTTTCAATTTATATTTTAAAAATATATTAATAATGAAAAATATTATTACAACTATTAATAATGGTCAAAATTTGATAGTATTATTATAACTAAAAGTTTAAAAAGATTACTATATAAAAAATATATATATTAAAAAATATTAACAACTTTATTATTTATTTTATATAATAAAAACAAAAAAAAACTTTTTTATAAAAAAATTATTATACAAGTTAAAGTCCTCGTAAAGGTCGTCCATTTGTTGCAAATATTTTCTTTGAGTTTTGATTCGCGCTGAACAATAGTCACAGTTATCTAATAATGCCGTTAAAATTATAATAGAGAGCTTTTTAGAACTTTATATTATATAAAAGTATAAATAAAAGTCATTATTGTTGTTATTAATAACTATGATGCGTATTTATAAAAAAGTAAAATATATAAAATTTATATAACTTTAATTGTTATAATAGTAAAAAAAAGAAAAAAATGTTAAAGTTAAAAAATTAATAAATAAATAGAAATATATATTAATATAATATTTAAATAATTATTAAAATAAAAATAGAAAAAATATTAATAAAATAAATAGATTAAAAAATAAAAAATTTTAATATAAAAATTATAATAATAAATAAAAAAAGTATTATTAATATAAAAATAAATTACAATAATAAAAATATAAAAAAAATTATCAAACAAAATATCTATAATATAAAAATAAAAATTATAATAAAAATAGGAAAAAGAAAAGTATTAAATAATAATAAAAAAATATTAAAGTTCATTATTTTAATATAATTATTATAGTAAAAATAATAGAAAATAAATGGTTATATAAATAAATTAATAAATAATATATATGCATAAATATTAAAAATTTAAACATAATTATTATAATAAAATAAAACATGATAAAAAATATTATTATATAAATAAAAGAAAAAAGTAAAAAATAATGAAATAAAAAGCTAATATAATATAAAAATGGACATTTCTTTAAAATAAAATTATAAATACAGAAAAATTAATAATATGTAATGTATAAAAGAAACAATAAATTAAAAATAATTATTAAAAACACTCAAATATATTAAATAAAAAAATTATAGTATATTATATATAAACAATTAAATGTAATATAATGCACACAAAAATATATAAAATATTTATTAGTTAATATAGAAATATCAATATTTTAAAAAGAAATAATATAAAAAAATAATATATACAAAAAAAAATTTTTTTTTTTTAATAAAATGACTACTGAATAAAATATATACAAAAGTAAGTAAATACATATTATATAAATAAAGAAAAGATATAGAAAAATTGTTATACAATAGTAAGTAAAAGCAAATAATATTATATAACAAAATTGGATTATAAAAATAAATATATCAAAATTAATGAAAATAGATGAAAGGAAAAAAACTTTTTTATCAACCATTAAAAATAAGAATTAATAACTGAATTAATATATAATTTTAGTTTTGAGGCATTTTTTATTAAAAGATGATAAAAATAGGAAAGCATAATTAATAAATATTATAATTATAATAATAATTAATATATAAATCATAATTGTTTGTCCGTTAATAATAAAAATAAGAAAACATCTTTATGTATAGAAAAAATAGAAATAGGGAAATAATAAAAATAATATTTCGAAGAATTAAAAATTTACATATAAAACTTTTATAGATAATAATATATTATACAAAGTAAAAAAGCATTTTTGTATAAAAAATACTTACAAATAATAAGAGTATTATAATAATAGTACACCCGTTAAATATAAATATATATTTTTTATATAAAAAGTAAAAATTTATAAATAATAAATTATATATTTTCATAAAAAAAAGTATTATTATAAGAAAAAGAATTTTTATATATAAATATTTGATTATATAAAATAATATAGTATTAATTTAATTAAAATAATATTTTTTATCTACAAAAATTTATAAATAATAAAATAATGTTAATTACAATTGCAAAGAAAAAACTAATTATATAATATTTTTTATTATAAAAAAATATATAAATTATTAAAATATACTAAAAAATAAAATTTATAAAATATCTATAAATAATAAAATAATTTTTTATAAATTATAAACAAATAATAATTGTTTATAAAAATTATATTAAATATAATATATAATATATAAATAAATATATTTTTTATTTGTTAAAATGAAAATAACATAATAAATATTATGTATAATAAAAAATAACAACGATACAAAAGAAATAATAAATATATTCATTATAATAACAATTGCAAAAAATTTAAGAAAAAATCTTTATAAATAATTTAATATATTAATAATAAACAAATTATATAATAATGATTGCTTACTCATTATAATAATAATATTATACATAAGAATTTTATTAAAATATTTATGAAATAATGAAAAAGATATTTTTGATAATAAATAAATAAATCATGGTTTTTTCAAACATCACTATAATGTACAAAAAAAAAAAAAGTAAAATTTCATAACTAATAATATATATTTATATTAGATAAATAAGTTAATAACAATTGTTTTCTCATTAAAAAAATATAGTAAAACAAAGAAAAATGAGTGAAAACATTTTTAAATAATAAAACATTAATATAAAATAAAAATTAAATAAAGATGGTTTTCTCAATATTTTAATAATATACAATATTTAAAAGAATAATAATAAATAGAAAAAAAAAATTTATTAAGAATAAATAATAGTTTGTTCATTAAAATAATAATATAGAAAAAATTCAAAGAAAAATATTAATAATAAATAAATAAATGCATTTTCATTATAACTTTAATAAATATAAAAAAAAATAATTATATATAATAAAATATATTAATAATATTAAATATATATAAATAATAATGACTTATTCATTATTATAATAATATACATAAAGTTAATATAATACTATTTATAAATAAATATGCACGTAAAAATATATAATAATAAAAGATTATACGTAAAAGTAGATACATATAAATAAAGTATTAAAAAAATATTAAAAATAAAAAAAGGTTGTTAATATCTATAACATTAACATTAACAGTAAAATCAAAATATTAGTAAAAAATATATATAATTAAATATTAATAATAATATAAAATTAAAAGCAAATATAATAAAGAAATATAATAGTAGTAATATATAGGAATATACATTAAAATAACTATTATTAAAAAAAATATAAACTGTTATATAGATAATATAATAAATAATATATAATGATACACGAATATGTAAAAAATCATAATATACGAATAACTATAAATTATTATATTATTAAAATAATATAAACAATTATTATAGTAAATATAATAAAATAATACAAGTATATGAAAAAGATTTACTCAAACCTAACAAAAATAAAAGAGTAATAAGATATACAAATAAAATTTATATTTTTATAAAAATATAAACTATTAATAAGAAAATATAATAGATAATATATAATAATACAGGAATATGTAAAAGAAAATTATAATAAAAAGGTAATAACATGCGAAGATACCATAAAAGTTATTATAAGTAAAATATAATAAATTGGGAAAAAAAATAAATAATAACATATAAAATCAAAAAATCAAAAAGAAATGAAAATAATATTATAAAATAATTGTAAATAATAATATTATATATAAAAATAATAATAAAAGAGAGATAATAACATAAATAAAATAGATATTTAAAAAAAATAAAAAATAATAAAAATAATAAAAAGGAAATAAAAAATAATAGTAATATACGAAAATACTATAAAAATTATTATCAGTAAAAGTAAAATTATTTAAAAAATAATAATAATAATAATAATAAATATATAAACAAATAATTAAAAAGAATTAAAAAATAAATAACAATATACGAATATATAATAAAACTTACTAGTATCATTCAAAGAAAATATTTTAAAAATAATATAAATATTAATATAATAAATCAAAAATATTATAATAATATTATATAAACATACTATAAATATTATTATAAGCAAAAGAAATTATTTTAATAATATATATAATAACAAGAATTAAAAAAATAGTAAGATAATAATATATGGAGATATTGTTATTATAAGTAAAAAAAAAAGAAAATACCTTATAATATATATGTAATAATAATAATTATAAAAAAAAAAAAATAAAACGATAATAAAATAAGAATAAATTTTAAGATTGTTTTAAGTAATTTTTTTTTTTCATATATAATAATAAAAAGAATAATAAGTAAATATAAAAAACCAAAAGAAGGAGGAATGAGTTGGTTGACTATAATATTATGAGTGTCGATATCAAATTTTGCGAGCTCCTGCACGAGTCGCTCCGTTTCATAAAGAGAGAGAAACTCCGCAATACAAACACATACAAAAGTCGTCTTTTCCTAATATAAAGAAAAGTTAAAAATAAGAATACTATAAATAAAAAATTTAAGTTTTGTTATTAAAAAAAGTAAGAAAGTTTAAATTTTTTCAAAGTATAAAAATATGTTATTAAAGTAATAATGTTAATGTTTATTTTAGTTATTAAGTTTATATAATAAAATAAAATTAATATGAAAAAAATATATAAAAGTAAAAAACATTACGGTTACAAAAATTATAGTTTATAAAAAATATAAAGTAAAAAAAAAATACAAAAGTAAAGTTAAAATAAAAAATTTAAATATAAAATAATAACATAAAAAGTTCTTAAAAAAAGATAATAAAGTTTTTAATATAATTATATATGAAAGTTATAAAATTTATTTATAACATATAATAATAAAAGGCGACAGTAAAAATACTAATCGTAAATTGCGTATTAATATAAATAATAAAAATAATAAATGAAAGTATATTAGAAAAAATATAAGTGGAAAAAGTAATTACGGATTATAAATATACTACTAATAATAATAAAAGTCTTAATAATAAAAACATCCATAATAGTAGTAATAACAATATAAGTAACAATAACAGTAATAATAGTAATAATAATTAGACAAATATGATATTATAATAATGTAAAGGTTAACAGGATTTCTTAAAAATAATAGTGGTAACAATATTAAATATATCAATAAAAGTTACGTTAATAATATTATAAAAAAAAGTTTAGAAGATTTTTTAAAAAATCATAGTAGTAATAATAATAATAAATATAAAAAGAAGATTTTTAAAAAAAATATTAGAAGTAATAAAAGTAAATATAAAAAGAAGAACAAAAATATAAATAAACTTAGTAAAAGTAATGTAAGTAATAGTATAACAATAATGAATAAAGTTGAAAGGATTTAAAAATAATAATAATCGATATAAAAAAAAGTCCAGAGTATTAATAATAGTAGTGATTATAATAACTAATTTAATATAAATAATGAAATTAAAATAATAATATTAAATACAATAAAAAAACTATAATAAATCGGTTATAATAGTAATAAAACGTGTAAGTAAAGAAAAACACAAATAAATATAATATTATAAAAAGAAACGATATTAATATAATAATAATAATTAATACATATAATATTACTTATAAAAGTAAGGATATTAATATAATAATAATAATAAAAATAATAGTAGTAAAAGTTTACAGGGTTTCTAAACTGTTGAATGACGGCGTCAATAATTTCTTTAGTTTCAAGAAGTTTAGTAGTGAATTCGCCTTCATCAAAACTTCCGCCTAATAGGGAAGCCGCCTTTCATAATAGTAATAATGATGATGATAATGATAATAATAACTTTACAAGTATTAAATAATATGAATTAGTATAAAAACTGGTGCCTATTTTATGTATATTTATATATTTATTATTATTATTATCAATAAAACGTTTATAATATATATAAATAATAAAAATATTATAAGAATTTATTACTCCCGTTATATAAATTTCTACATATTATTATTTTTAATCAAAAGTTTCGATAAATATGTGAAGAATAATAATAATAGTAATAATAATAAATATTTTTATAAAATATATGAAGTTATGTATAAGAGTCTTTCTTATTTATTTATTATTATCATTATTATATACTACTTTTCTTATGTATAAAAAAATAAATATTATAATATATTGTTTACTAGTAAATAAATTTTTAATAAGTTATATAAACTTGGTTTTATTAAAAAAAGTAAATTATATTTAATAAAAATATAAAAAACTTTTTTTTAAATAAAAGAAAATAAAAATATAAGATAACACTTTTTATTACTTATTTTTTAAAATTTAATATATTGAATAACAAAAAAAGGTATTATACCTTTAAGTCATTATAGCAAATAAAAAAAAAATAAAAAACGTATAATAATTAATTAAAAAAAAAAAAGCAAATATATATATTCATATTATACCTTATAAAAATAAAACATAAGAAAAGTAACACAGAGAAGTTAAAAAAATAAATCCTATATTCAACTTATACATGACTATATCTTATTTTATAAAAGTGAAATATTAGTATTAAATAAGAATAGCTTGAATATAATATAAATATATATATTAATTGCGAAATATGAAAGTTTTTAAAACAATAATAAAATTAAGTAATTACATGATAAAAATATCTTTTTAAAAATAAAAAAAAACATAATAAAAGTCGATATACAAAAAAATATTCTTATTGAAAAAATAATAACATTATTTTCATTAAACAAAAGTCAAGTACTAAAATAATATAAAAAATATAAACAAAAAGTATAAATATATATAAAATAAAAAATACTTAAATAGTTGAATAATATCACGTTTGTTAATCATTATAATATAGAATAAACGACGACGTTAATATAAAAAACTATATTTTAAAAAATTTATAAATGTTAATAAACTGCCAAAAATATAAAATATAGTCTATGAAAATAAAAATTACTAAAAAAAAGTTAACTAATAACTAAAATATACTTAAATTTTGATAATTGCTTGTAAAAAAAATTAAGAAAAGTTTAATATAAAATAAAATATATTTTTGTCTATAAAATTAAGGATTAATCAAAATATTTAAAACAAAAATAAAAAGTTTTGATAAGTAGTTTATACATATTTACCATAAAAAAGTGCTTATAAGTTTATATAATAAAAAATTTGTATTATTATAATATATTCTTTATTCATATTTTATTATAAATTTTTTGATAAAACTTTTAAAAAGTATCAAACCACTTCAAAGTTTAATTATGCTTCAAAATAATTTTTTTTTATTTTAATTTTTTATTTAAACTTTTGTTTTTCATTTTATTAAATATAAATTAGAATCTTCTTACTAACAAAACTTTAATGGTATAATAATTTTGAAATTTTCACGAAATCAAAGTCAAAATGTTACTTCCTACTTTTATAATGTAAATTACTTTAAAGTATTTTAAATTATAAAAATAAAATAATATTTTTTTGACTCATAAAAAATATATATCTGTTTTTTTCATTATAAATTTTATAAAGCTTTTATTATTACATAAACTTTTAACTTTTTGTTAAACTTTTTTATAAATAAAAATTCCTACTAAATTTGTATTTTATATTTCTCGTTATAACTTTTACATGAAAAACTACTTATAGTAGTATTGATAAGAAAAATAATATATTGGTTATATTCTGGTTTCCACTTTATTAGTATTTTATTAAACCTTCTAATAATAAAAACTTTAAAGTTTTTTATTAATTTGGTTTTGTTTTACTTTTTTATATATTGTACTATTACTTCATTATAAAATCTATTAAACTTTTATAATTAGAAAAACTTTTAACTATTTATTAATTTCAAAATTTTCTAAAATAATAGTTCTACTTATTACTATTTATATTTTCTGTTATTAAACCTTTTTAATGCAAACTTACTTAAATAATTCATAATTTTATAATAAACAAATTTTTGATTCCAAAAATAATTTTTTTTGGATTT